CGCAAGACGGAAGCCTAAACCCAAGGTCCGAACGCTGGCCCCGAACATTTTCCCACCGGTTTCCTGGGTCCTACTTGCGCGTCCCCAGTTGGACTTCTAGGGTTTTATTGTGTATGTAATAGGCATGTGACTGTATCTATATACCTAACTTAAATACCTGTATATCTATAATTACATGTTCCTACAGTGGGAAGCCCCGCCAGCCGAGGCGGGCGCGCGCTAGCGTTTACAAGTATTATAATATGATAGGCCATATGTTGGGAATATATTGGAATAAGATTCTGGTGGCGGTGAGAGTGGCGGCTGTTTTTAGTGGCTACGGTGGAGGTGGTGGCAGTCTTGACTCAGTGTTGATTTTGGTTCTTATCCGAATATAACCCCAATATTTAGGGTTTAGGGTTATACCCTTTATGTTAACATACTTTCCATTTTATTTTCCATTGTCCCAGTATATAACCCCCAAGATATACCCTAGTATGTTGTAATAGTTTTCATTTTATTTTCCAATATCCCAATATAACCCCAATAGCCTAAACCCTAAACCCTAAACATTTAGGGAGCTCCATGGCTCGGTCCAGCCACCCGAAAGCCCCAAAAATCCCATCTGCCTGGGCTTGGTCCCGACGGCAGCAGAAACGCCGTGGCCATGGCGAGGTCAGGCAAACCAACACTCCAAGCTTGAAAGCAAGCACAAGACACAATTGCAAAACATAATTTCGAGAAAAGCCCCATGCGATTGCAAAATCAGCTATGACTGGTGGCCTACTCAAAGTTGTCTTCATGACTCTTCGCGCTTCGGGAGTGAGCCACAAATTTCGAGCAACACTGTTTCAGACCACCTCAAGGACCCCAAAAAATGGACCCCCCCCAATATGAACTCACTACTACATTGGGGGAACTAGCCCTAAGGGTCCAAGTACCTAATAATCATATACTTACCCAAAACCTGTACTATAATTACTATTACCCAAACCCCAGGTACCCTATTATTGGGTACATGGACCCTTAGGGTAGGGGATGATTTGTTGGATCCTTTTGGGGGTTTGGGGTTGCAGGTCCTTTGATTCTGAAGGTCATCCGTCCATGGTCCGGCCAAAAGCGGCAACGCCTGGGGCTTCCCGAAGTTACAGGCCGACTTAAAGGTAACCTTATTAGGCGCCATATTCCGTGATTTAGGGACCCAAACCCCAGGAAACAAACCCTAAACCCAAACTCGCTTCTGGAGTGCAGAGCTAGGTTCACGCGTGAGGGCTGATGCATCGTCATGGGAGTATTTGTCCGGAACAAGAAACTTGGCCAAAACTGGGATTCCACCACCTCCGCGCCAGCAGCAGAGTCCAATATCTTTTCGTCAGAATCCGTTCTGCCCAGCTTTCTGAAGGCAGGAAGGGCAGCTCAGGGGCAAGCATACAGCCTGCTGAGCTCCAACACTCCAACACACTAAACACTGCAGGACAGAAGTCTTGCAAGCCCGCGAAACACTGAATTCACTGCACCAAGGCGCCGTGGACCTGAGGTTGTAAGATACGCGAACGAGCTGCTACACAAATGCAGATTTGGTATGTTTTTGGTCTTGCTCAGAGTGGGGTGCAGGAAGCAGGATTGCAGTAGTTGCTGAATGTTCCATATGATGCCATTGAAAACTCAGCAGAGTGAAGCTCTCAAGCCGCAAATCCTCTAATTGCTTCTGCAGGGCTGCTTGGCTCAGACCGCAATAACCATGTTGGCGCGTATAGTCCTGGCCACCTGACACAGACTTCTACAAGATTGATTTTCTCACTGGTGCCCTATCTTATTCCTATATAATATAGTATACTATACCAATTATAATACCAATAAGAATAGTAATAGGAATGGATAAGATAGTGTAATGTAGTATAGTATAATATACTCTGTTATTCCCTGCTAAACACCAGTTCCCGAAGAGTTCAACTCTATGCACAGACTGTTAGGGACCCTATGACCCCAATCAAGAGCACTGGCAGGGTCTGGGTTGACGAGTTGAAAAAATCCGCCAGCAGATCTTGCCACTGGGGAGTCCCTGCCCTTAGACTAGGCAGGCTGCGAGTAGAGTCTCTAGGCAACCCTAAGCCCTAAACCCTAGAATGTTGACTGGCTGCTGTCACCTACACCCTAGACCGGACAGTCACCTACGCGCAACAATTGAATTGGGCAGGATTTGAAGTGGCTGCAAAGCCCTCGGGAAACAACAGGGGATTTGCAAAGCTTACTGGTGGCTGGCTTCCCTGTCCTAAGGTCTGCATGGAACATACACTCCGTCTTTCAAGGCATACCTTGCTAAAGCCTAAGCTCAATATCGTGAAGCCGCGCGGCATACCCCGCCCCCAAAAAAGATACCTATGGTATCTACTTGGAGGCAGGTACATGGGGGGCCTGAGTATCTATACCACATGGGTACATGGACCTTATGGGCCTCATGCATTCATAGCCCTATACCCTAAACCCTCAAGCCCTGAACCCCTAAACCCTAAACCCCAAAACCCCTAAACCCCTAAAACCCCTAAACCCCAAGACCCCAAAACTCCAAAACCCCAAGACCCCAAAACCCCAAAACCCCTAAAACCCCTAAACCCCAAAACCCTAACACCCCTAAACCTTAAACCCTAAACCCCAAGACCCCAAAACCCTAAAACCCCTAAACCTTAAACCCCTTTTCCTCATCTCACCCCTGCCTCCTCCGCAGTTTCCGCGGCGGCCCTTGCGGGCAGCGATGAGTCGGTAGCCTGACAGTAGGTCGCTTAGGGTTTAGGGTTTAAGGGTTTAGGGGTTTAAGGGTTTAGGGTCTAAGGGTTTAAGGGTTCAGGGTCTAAGGGTTTAAGGGTTTAGGGTTTAAGGGTTTAAGGATTTAAGGTTTAAGGGTTTAGGGTTTTGGGCGGCGGTGGGCTCCAGGGGTCCTCTACGTGGAAAACTGCGGCTAAGGGTTAAGGGTCGGAGGGTGTGTCTATTTACAAATTTCAAGTTCATATGCCTTAGTAGGTCTTCCTGAGGAAATCCGACTACAAAATACACCTTCATATTCTTAAATTGAGCCTTGGTTTAATGAAAATTGAAAACTGAATCCAACCATCACCCAGTTCACCCTACATCTTAAACCCTGAACCCTAAGCCCTAAACCCTGAGCCCTAAAGCCTTAACCCCTAAACCCCTAAATCCTGAACCCTTAGCCATGGAGGAGTTCAGGTTCGCAGTTCAGGAATCGACACACGCATGAGCTATAGTCTAAACTCCTAGTATCCCCCTTAGTAACCCCTACAAAACTCCCTTATATAATGCCCTATATATCTCCCTTCAAGGAGTGTAGGCTATAGCTCACATGGCTTGGCCCTTAACTTCGCAAATTAAAACAGCTCATTACCGTGCAATAAATGCGTCTTGGGTATATTCCTTGTAGTAGCTACCCCTAAACCCTGAGCCCCCGAATCCTAAACTGCTTAATGGTGAGCTCGCGTGAGCTCGTAAGAATTTGTCAGCCCAAACTCCCCCTAAAGATTTTTGAAACTGGAAAACAACACATGAGCAACAGTCAGTATTTTCCTGATGAAAACATATATGCTTTAAGGACTATACTAGTCCACCCTGAATGGTCCCTTGGCAACCATAGTAGGGATAGTAGCTCACATGCAGAGCACAATTTCCAAAAAGGACATTGGATCTAAGCTTGCGGGTGCCTTGGACGCAGAGTGTGCCGGAGCGAACTTACTGGTGTGAGGCAATATAGGCATTCACTCTCCCGCCTATCTCTTCAGCACTCTGAACCCCAAACCTAGCCCTGACATGACCAGCTCAGTGACAGGTTGACATATTCTCGCAAGCGCGGAGGCAAATCACTTGAAGCCGGCGGCATGAAAAGCGTTCTCTCAGAGAAGCACCCACTGCCATGCCACTCACTAGCAGCTCGAGCACACATTGGCGCTTGCAAGTTGCTTCACGTGGGCTGGAAGCTGCATACTTCCCTGTGAAATCCAAAAGAGCACATTCACAAAAGTCTGGTGCATAGGGTTTAGGGCCTAGGGGTCTCGTCAGGGGGACTTGGCAAATACTTGTAACTGGCCTTCTGAAATTTTTCCTGGGGGTAACCTACTTAAGTAGGGCTCTAAGCCTCCGAGCCCAGCTTAAATTCGATACCAAGTGCTAATGTAGATCCGTGATTAACAAACCTCCTCCTTTTCAGGGCCCAATTATTAGGATCCCTATTATAATCCCCAATAATGAGAGGGGGCTTATTAGTCAGGGGTCTGGGGTAGGCAGCTCTCAACCCTAAACCCTAAACCCCGACAGTCCCGCTTAAGTAGATCGAACACGGGGATCTTATTATGAGATACCAAGAGCCATATTCTATCTACTTGAGGGGGGACTACAACACTTAAACCCTAGATAGTAGTTGATTTCTTTTCCATCTTGTGTCTACAATATGGGTGGTTGTCAAAATTATGGCCCCTTTTTGGGTACCCTGTATAGTAGGTGCCGTATTATAATAGGGACCCAAAACGGGACCATAATTTTGACCAACCACCCATATGGACTTTCAAGTACAACAACCTCATCTCAGGGGCTCTGCTCCCTGCCTCCCTTGGCAGTAGCTGCCTTTAGCTACCTGTGCTCAAGTGCTCCCTCTAATTAGGTTTTAAGAGTGTAGGGTTTAGATGTATAGGGTTTGGGGTATAGGGGTTTACCTCTTATAACTGGGTTTAGGTTTTAAGGGTTTAGGGGTATAGGGTTTAGGGTATAGGGGTATACATGGGGTTCTAAACCCCGAGCCCATTTATTACCTACCCTAAACCCTAAACCTTAACCTACTTGCGAAGTCGCAGTGAAGCATGCATTGGTGCGCGCAATGCCGGCCAGCTTCGTGGCAATAGCTCCAGAAACTTCCGGGAAACCTCGGAGTGTTGCCAGCTATTAGGGTTTAGTTTTTAGGGTTTAGGGTACCTGAAACCCAAAAATATGTAGACGTTTGAGCCATTTTTAAGGGTTTTGGCTATTGTTTTACCTGATTACTTACTTTTCGGGTCTAAGTAAGGGTCCAAGAACCAGGATAAGTTGGGCCCAACAGACCTATCTGGAAACCCGAATTGTACACTCTTTAAGTATTTCGGCCCCTGGGGCTACATGATTCTGGGTTCTGGGCTGAGACATCGGGCCTTGCGTTGGAGCGTTGGGGCAGTATGCCCCTAAGCAGTTCACATTAGGGATGAGCTGCTTCACCGTCCTCAAGATACCCTCAAGACTCAAGGCACAGAATCCAGCGCCTAGATCCTCCAAGCCCTGAAACCTTAAACCCTAACCCCACGGCTATGGCCATACTGGAAACCTAAGGGTCCAAAGTACCGAATCATATGCTTCGCCAAACCCTGTACTACAGTTACGATTGCCCGTTTCAAAACCACCTAAATATTGGATATTTGGACCCTCTGAGGAAAGTAGTTGGGGGGTCTTGGTACCGAAAAACCCTTAACCCTAGACCTTAAAACCCTAAACCCTAAATCCTAGGATCCAATAAGATCAGCCAAAACCAGCAGGTTTCTCCAACTTGTTGAACAAATCCACTGTAAGGTTTATGGGAGTGCGAAGCATCAAGCTTTTGAGCTTGATATGCCATAGGACTAAACATCAAGCGTTGAGGGCCTGGGTGTATTTGTAACAGGGCGGCTGGTTTGTGTCTTGTGAAATTCCTTCTTGGAGAATCACGTGACTTCGCAAGTCTACTTGGTAGCAGGGGTTATTGGGCTTATAGCATGCGTTACCGTGGGGATAGTAGGTAGACTTACTATGTCAAAAAACCATGCAAGTTGTGTATGCCAGACGTCTAAACCCTACCCCCCCAACCCCCCAACCCCTAAACCCAAAACCCCAAACCCCGAACCCAACAACCCAGTCTCACCGTGATTTGGGATGCCAAACCACTCTCAGGATCTTAGCTGATCTACTGGGTATAGGTTAGAGGATTTCGGAGGATTTGGGGAGATTTACGGTTTAGGATTTAGGGTTGAGGCTTGAGGGTTTAGGCTTAGAGTTAAGGATTAGGTTTAGGTATCATGGCTCCCCCCAACTCTGTGCCTTGAGTTTCCCGGAAGGTACATCTGCAGGCAAGACCCTAAACCCTAAACCTTAACCCCTACACCCAAAACCCCTAAGCCCACAACCCTAAACCCTAAACCCCTAAACCCTAAGCCCAGGCAAGATGCTCAGGTGCGTTTGGTCTCGCTTTTTTGGGTCCAGGATGCCGCCCCTCCCAACATCCTCCTTAGAGGATTTAGGGTTTAGGGTTTTGGGTCTTTGGGTTTGGTTTAGGGTTTAGGGTTTTGGGTTTAGGGGTCGATTTTGTAGGACCCTTTTGAAGGGAGTATATGAGGATATACAAGGGTCCCTTTAACTGGGTTTTAATGGGACATATAGGGGTCCCCTTAAAAGGATTCTAATGGAACATATTAGGGTCCCTTGGAAGGGATTACATTCGGTCCCTTTTCGGGATTATATTGGGATATATATGGGTCCCGTAAAAAGGAAGTATAGACGGATAGATAAGCGTCTCTTGAAAGGGATACTATAGGGTTCCAGCAAGGCATTAAATGGAAAAGTAATTGCTATCCTCAAGCTTAATCCCTAAACTCCTACACCCTGAACCCTGAGCCCTAGACCCTAAAACCCTAAACCCTAAACCCTAAACCTTAAGCCCTGAACCCTAAAACCCTAAACCACCAAACCCTAGACCCTCAGCATTCAAAAGCCCAGGCTGAATAAGCCTCAAGGGTGACATCTGGCTTTGTGCGACCACGCGGCTTCTTCATATTTTGAAGAAATTCCTGTGCCTGGCAGAAGTGATTCACCCGTAGGCTCTAAGGACTCATAATATAAGGCTTTTGGGCCCAAAGACCATACTATACAAGGCTTTTGGGCTATTTTGAGCCTTAGGGTCAGGGTTTGGGGATTGCGGTTTGGGGGTTGCATTCTTAGCATGGACTTTTGGTTTCAAGTTTTCAAGGTGTTCAGGGTTTAGAGGTTGGGCATTTAGGGTTGTGGGTTTCTGGGCTGCCTTCTAAGCAAAGCATTAGCCTCTTGCCTCTCTGAGTGCAGATTCGAGTCGCAATTTGGAGTCCAAAGCTTGCCAGTCGAACCCTATAGTAAAGCCAATATTAGCTTCCACATTGTCTTCCCTGTTCTCGTCCATGTGCTTCTCCATTGCCTTACAACGCTATGTGGGATGCAGCTCCAAATTCACAAGAAACCTACGGTTTGGGGTTTGCGGTTTAGTATTCCCCAAATACTCTGATCCTTGCTCTGGGGACACCGAAACAAAAAGGCCTCAATTGTTGGAAGCACCCATACCCCTGGCATGGGATATGTAAAGCCCTGTAACCCCAAACCCTAAGCCCTGAACCCTATAAACCCTAAACCCTTACCCTATACCGCCTCTTCTGGGGAAAGGAGGTCAATCTGCGGGATCAAGTCAGTTGCCTGCGCCCGCGGCGGGACTGTACGTCTGAATCAGCCTTTTCTCGAGGTTTAGGGTTCAGGGTTCAGGGTTCATTGCGCCAATGATCTAGTTGCGGACATGTGTTTTGCTTTCTCTCTATACGACTTACAACCAGCGCGAAATGCGAGATGCTGAGGCGCATGTCATTCAACATAACATGATGCACGCCACAAGCGCATCCAACAACGATTTTGGGATGCTGCATGTCTAAAGTCTATGGGTTGTCGGAGCTGAGACTCTAAGTAACTT